TGCACTTCCAGCATTTTCACTGTGTGTGATTCCTGATTCCTGACGTGTGAAAGACTCCAGCAAAAGCACAGGTTGGAGGAATATTTCATGATCCTGTGGAAAGTGCTGAGACCTTGGTTGTTTTGTATGGGAGCTCAGGAGGCGTTTCTTTACCTGAGGAACATGGAGAATAATGAGGCATCCCCGGAAAAAACTGCTGCTATTCTTTCCTGAACTAAAAAAACCCACATCTGTATGAAGCAGACAGCAGCTCACTCTTCAGCTCCACACACTCTCTTTAGGTCATTAGCTGAGATTGTTAACGAGGAGGGCAGCTAGATGAGGCTGCATTGATGGGTTTTTTGGTTACGAACACCTGAACCCAGAGTGCACTCATTCATCAGAGGATGGCAACAACAAATGTCTGAAGTGCTGAGCTAGATTTGAAGAGGCAGCACACAGATAAAAGTCTCCAGAAGCCCTTTGCAATTCCCTTAGTCATCCATTCCCACCAAAAGCTCCTCTTTTGAAGCTTCCAGGAAGCCTGATGCAACCTTTGGTCGTCCTTTTGGTCCGAGCTCTTATCTGTGTAGTGCAGACCCGGCCTCTCTCTGCTCATCCTACTCAAAAACAGTTGTTATGGGATAAACAAACCATATTTGCTGATGCACGTTCTCAGTTCTCTTATCAGCTGAACAACACGCTTCTCGTGCATGGTGGGTCAAACAAGCTGCTGGTCCAACTCCAAGAATTCCAGGGCAACTGCATCACGGCTCATTTTGAGCTTGCTCACAGCTCTGGACTGCAAGAAATCACAACCACATGATGATGGAGCATTATCTTGGACTGACCAAGAGTTTCCCAGTGTTACAAAGCGTATTTAGGTTGATGATTGCAGGCCTTAGGTCTTTTTTATTGAGATATTAACATGATAAGCACTGCTTTGGGTAGCTGTTAAGATGCTTCAGGATATGGTCAGACTGAAGACTATGTGTCTTATCGGAGAAGAATTTCAGCTTTATTTAAAATGTAAATAAATAAGTAAAGCATCTCTAGCTCAAAACTACTTCACAGCTGTCCTGAAATACATTGGTAAAGTTGTTTGAGATGAGACACACATCTGAGGAGAGGAGAAAACCAAACCCCTGTGAGCTTTTACCAACCAAGCCAAGAAGTTACAGCCCTGTGATGAGGAAACATCTCAGGGATCATATGAAAGGTAGCTGGCACATTGGACTAAAAAAAGGGGTTAGTTCTCTTGGTCATGGCTTTAAAAGGTTATTCCTCTCTCAACACCACAAAGCAACAGCTTTCCATCGTTCTAGTCACTCCTGTTGCAGCATTCCTTCTTGCTACCCCTCCAGTTCCAGCATCTCCACAGAAATCAGTGCAGTCCATTCACCTTTGGTTATAGCTTTGCTGTCTTACATCAACGTATAAATATAACCAGAATATGCCAGACAGAGAGCAGAGGTGATCACAGAGCACCTAGCAAAAGGTGTATTCAATTTTTTCATTAGAAAAAGAAATATCTCTACTCTGAAAATCTTTTCAAAAAATATAATTTTTTCATGCATTATCTGCTTTTTGCCCTGCAAAAAATTAAATATTTGAAAGTTTACTTTTTAATAGAGAAGCAGTTTAACAGGAGCTTTTTGATCATCCCTTTGCTGTGGGTGAAGAACACAGGGGCTTCAAGACTTGCTTGAGTATTTCTACACAGAGTGAAATGGTGGGTCAAGCTCTGTGTTTGAAGAATATACCAGAGATGTCACCAAATGTGTTTATTTTAGCAGAAGTTCATGCCTTTTACCATCCAAGTGCAAATGTCTGCAGAGGCTGTTGAGTAATTAATGCTTGCAAGGCACTTGAAAATGGAACATGGTGTATACTCCTGCAAACTATGTTTAATTAACCATCAGAGATCTGCTGATTTATTAGAGACCTTTCCAAGATGTGCCTTCTCATTAGCCTGGTACAAAGCGACCCACAGCAGGAGGGAACAACTTGCTTCAAACACGGTTCAACTTTCAGCCAGTTTAATCTTCATCCCATTGATAGACTTCTGAATCCTAATTTAATTATAGTTCCTTAAATGTTTTGTGATATCATATCTCAATCTCTCTGTTCTGTGTCTTTTTATGTTTTTTTGTCAGTTGTTGTGGGACAGAGGAATAGATAATTTTTTTCAATATCCACTAAAATTCTCTTTGCCTGCAGCGCAGTATATGCTCTATAAAAGAGATGAACTTGCTGCAAGTGAAATAAGCTGATGCTGCACTGTCTTTTCAGAGCAACAAAAATCTTTATAGATTATTTTCCCAAGTGTCATGAATCTCCTTCAAAGCCTTAAGCCACTGATACCAATTAATAAACTTAACAGTCTAATTTTCAATTCACACCCAGGCCACACAAAGCGGATGCTCACCCTGGCAGATGCTTGAAAGCTTTGCCTTTCAGAGATAAAATGTTACCTTGTGTGTGATAGGGATGTTAAGGTGGGGGTGATTCAGGAGCAGAAAGACCTGTTAAAGTGCAGCACCTGAGGCCTTCTTGTTTTCTGAATTTACAGTCTGGGGCTGGTAGTCGTATAAATGAGTGATGCTCTCTGATGTTCTCTTCCAAGGCAGCTACAAAATTGGCAGGGAGTCTTGGGTTTTGTGCTGATGTGTCCAGAATTCAAATAATTTGATTCTTGGGTATAATGACAATTGGAGGCAGAGTATTACCTTGAGAAAAGAGAGGGGAGAGACAGCTTCTGGATCCTGTATTGAATTAACAAGCGATTCCCATTTACTCTCTCCCCTGAAAACTCCATTATACAGGGCTCTTATTGCCCTTATTCAAGGGCAGGGAATTAAAAAAGTGATATGGATGGTAATGCTCCCATCTTCCTACCATGACATTGAATAATGGGGACAAAGAAGGGAAATCTTGACAGATGATACGCCTTTTAAAATACTGCTGATAGTGAAAACACAGGAAGGATGGTGCATTTGAATATCAGCGATGAAGTCATAGTCAGATTTTTGTGGTTTTTGCTCATGAGTTCAAGTCATCTTTGCTTTTATTTTTGCTGTGGTTTTTCAAATATTTTATCTTCTTGTTATTCCAGTTCCTTACTCTAAGGAGCATAACTGAGGTGAGGACAGAGGTGAAGCGTTGGTTACACTAATTCCAGGAGAAATCTGCTCTCTCTCTTCTCCTGGATTCGAAGAGCAAGAGTTGGGAACCCAGTAGGGAAAAGTCCACCAGCAGACTGATATAATTATACAGTTAGAGCAATGTTACTGCTCAAGAGGAGGCTCTTCTTTCCAGTTCAGCCTAAGCTTTCTGAAGTTACATAGACTGCATCACACTGGTGGTCTTATAACAAAATAAGGATATGCACTGTGGACCCTTCAACATCCTTGCTTTACAAATACATTAATTTAGGTTTAAAAGAATGAATTTTGCTGTTTAAACTATACCTTACGCAAAATGAGCATATTTGCATTAGGAAATCTTAAAAATTTTATGGAATAATTGACAATATCTGCATTCTACAAGTGCATAATTGAAAAATAGAATATTTAACTACTTTGACAAAAGTCACACAGGGAACACCTTCTGAGGTGAGAACAAAATACAGATCTTGGTCTAGTTCATGTAAATCACGAAGTGTCCCTGAATTACTGACAGTCTTACCTGATCTCAGCCCAGATGTTAACGAGGCCCCTTAAACTAAATTTTTGGTCAAACCTCTTTGTGAGGAGCAATCATGAAAATCAGCTCTGCAGCATGACCTAGTAAGGTTAGAAAAGATGCTGGGAAAGGTTTAGGGAAAAAGTGTCAAAACCCTTACCTGTACTGATACCTGTTGATTCTGACCATGTCAGTGCTGTTATATTGGTGTAACTCTGATTTTAGAGTCAGTGGTACCATCTTGCTGCAGGAGAGCAGGATGTAGCTCAAAACCTCTTGAGAGCAACTCTGAGAAGCCAAATTATGGCTTGCTTTGTCGAAGGGAAGCTCATTTTATCTCCCACTCCCCCTCACCAGTCATTACTATCAGCAGATGCCAACCTGTCATCTGGGTACATGCACCAAACCATGTAAATTAATTAATTAATTAATTAGTTGAGACTTTGTTTCCAGCTGGATCTAAGATTTGCAAGGAGCCATTGTGAATGAAGAGAGCTGATAGCTGAATTTTCCTCTTGCACATCTCTTTCTTTCCTCTAGTGGGAAGAATTTAGGCTGGTAATTATATTTCCAACCAGCTGCCTGTGGCCTCCAGAGGTCAGCATATCACCGGAGAAGAGCTCAGTCACAGCACCCTCAAACTGTACTTTTCAATGATTTCATTATGTGTAGTTTCCACTTCCACTAGTAATAAGATTTAAGAGTTTTGTCCCCAACGCTTGTTGTGGCAACAAAATCAAGAAAAGTCAAACGAGCTCTCAGAATATCCATTGTAAAATGCAAAGTGTTGTCATTGATCTGTGCTGCCACTTGGATGGGAGATGCCTTAAGTGACAAATTTATTGAAAATAATCAAATTGATACCCATAGGTATGGGTGTTATTCCTGATGTGTTAGTTCTGATGGGGGGAATGGACATGCTAAGCGTATTCTAAGCGGATAGGACTTTTTCAGTTCTGTCAAAAGGTTTAAATTTTAGTGTATTTGAGCACAACTTGCAGTTCTAGTGATACCTATCTCAAAAAGGGTAACATATAATCAGAAAAAAAGAGACAGATGAGAAATAGAGATTGTCAGAGGTGTGAAACAGCTTTCATGCAAGAAGGAATTTAGACTATTTATCCTAGAGAAAACAAGTTGGAGGAAATATGATACCACAGAATCATAGAATGGTTTGGGTTGGAAGGGACCTCAAAGATCAGCCAGTTCCAACTCCCTGCCATGGGCAGGGACACCTTCCACTAGACCAGGTTGCTCCGAGCCCCAACAAGAAAATAAATAATACAACCAAAATCCAGCCCAACTCAAAAAAAAAAAAAAAAAAGGAATAACAACACTTAATTCTTCTATTATTTTTATTAAAGCTGCAGAGTCTTACTACACACAACGAATATTTTATTGATATAATCTAAGTTAATAAAATAGTTGAACAACTCTTTAGATTTATATTTGTATAGAAATGATCTGGGGAACATCTCATCTCAAAACAGCAGTGCCCGAAAACAACTATTCAGCAGGATTTTTTAAAAGAAGAGTTTGGGACTAGAGGATGCACTGTTCATTCCCAAAGGAAAAACAAAAAATCCATGCAAAAATAACCCCCACCCTCTTCCTGCTTTCTTTCCCATCCAAAGTGGAAGGCCATGTGGAATGACCACATCAGGGATGGTTCTTTCCTTCCAGTATTCCTCCTCACACCTAATTTGGGAGCTGTAGTCTAAACTTAATTCATTAAAACAAGACAAAAAGAAAATTTAATTGCACAATCCTAGTCTGCAGGTGATGACATCATAACATCTCTTTACAGAAGTCCCTACTCTTTCCCAGCTGGGAGAATTGGTTATGGAGTTGTGTTTGTCCCCGTGGCTGATGTCAGTTACTGTCCATGTGGTCACCACAAGTCAGTCTATCTACTATTGCTTTGCTCTCCCTCCTTCACCTATGTGTAGTTTACATTCTATGTGGCACTGCCTGCAAAGGGCCGACTCCGTGGTGTTTCCCCCCCCTTTTAAATTCCACAGCTCCAGTGTCGATCTCCTCACTGCAGCCGGGCACCGGCATCGCCCGCAAGATGTCTGTGACAGACTCTGAGACACGTCCTTGCTAGATCATCCCATTGATCTTAGTCCACTCGTAGATGTCCTGTTCACACACTATGTCCGAGTTGATGAGGAGGTATCTGTCCCCAACACAGAAGTGTTTCTGGCAGGCAGCGCATTTGAAGCATTCCAGGTGATACACCTTGTCCTTCACCCTCATGGTCATCTCGTAGGCCCGGATTCGCTTGTCGCAGGAGGCGCAGAGCCCATCCTGGCCGAAGAGCCTGGAACAACACGGCAGAGGAGTGAGCAGATTTCCTTTGCTGGGAGGTGGGAAAAACCACATCAAAACAAGGACACAACCCCAGTGCCTCGAGCCATTAGTCATAGCAGTGTGGAGTTAGAAAGACTTGGAAAAGACGAGGAAAGCTGCCGAGCAGAGCTGGAAACTTTGCAACACCAAAAACTGAAGCAGAAAATCCAAGGTCCTCACCTGCTTTCAGTATCATGGAAGCAGAGTATGGTTTGGGTTGGAAGGAACTGTAAAGTCCATGCAGTTCCAACCCCTGCCATGGGCAGGGACACCTTCCACTAGCCCAGGTTGCTCCAACCCCTATCCAACTTGGCCTTGGACACTTCCAGCGATGGGGCAGCCACAACTTCTCTGGGCAACCTGTGCCAGGGCCTCACCACCCTCACAGGGAAGGATTTCTTCTAATATCCAATCTAAATCTCCTCAAATCTATCAGTATAATTTACTTTTCTGATCAATGACCTTATCTTGAATTTGCTGAGCACTTCAGGAAGAGGTTCCCCAGAATATTGCACAAAGTTATGCCCTGCTAATACTTCCACTTCTGTAATTGACAAATTACCTTTCCATGGATAAATGTTGCTTGTCTTCAGCTGTGCTTTGTAGTTTAAGGAAAGGATTAAAGGGAAAGAACATAATTTCTTTCATCTACCAGGAGATGTCACTGTTCGCTTCTGCCCAACAAAAGTAATGCTAAGGTTACACAAAGGTTGCCAAATTTTTCATTAACAGGGGAAGATATTATCTGTTGCATTATTAAATAAATAAAAGGATTGAATTTCACTGCAAGAAAATGCATTAATTGTATTGCCATACTTCCTGTTGCTTCCATTTTAAGATGAAAAGTATTTGGGGAGTCTAATTAACACTGGATCACTGCTGGATTTACAAGTGGTCCCATTAGCAGAACTTAGTCCTTACTTTCAGCTTAGCAAAATTCCCATCAGCAAAGCTCAGGGACAGCATAATTAGGGAGTCCACTGAGATTTTGGTATAGTTTTTATTGGCAGGTAAATCAGCCTTCAGTGAAATAGCTGGAAAAATACCATTAAATATCATTATTCTGTTCCTTGACACGTTAGGGATCCATTAGAAGAAATGGAACACAACTAGAAGAAATGGAACACATTTTAATTGTACTCAAGAATGTAAAGATCCTTTGTTACCAATTTTTATGAAATATATTAATCTCCAACTAATCCTTCTACTTACAAATTTTGGGAAAAACTGACAGGCAGAGGGTTATCAACGAAAATACCCATAAGAAGTAACAACACTGACCCTGTAAGGTTCACCTGGAGCTGTGGGGTTATGTCTGTGCAGACCACAAGATGCCAACAACCCCAAGTCCTAGGAGCTCTTACTATGTTCTTCACATTATCAAATAATTCTGATTTATCCACCACATGTAGCAATGCTTTTGTTTCCATTAAAAAATGCCTTTTTTTAAACAAGATTTTAAAGACTTAACTGTAAACAACTCCAAGTTTTTTATCTAACCAACACAGATAATCTTTAGATTTATCTAGAAGTTACTGAAGAATCCCAGCAATACCATAAAGCATCTGGACATGAAACCCAAAATTATGAAGACAGGCCGAGAGAGCTGGGGGTTTCAGCCTGGAGAAGAGACGGCTCTGGGGAAACCTTATAACACCTACCAGTGCCTAAAGGGGCTCCAAGAGAGCTGGAGAGGGACTTTGGACAAGGGCTTGAAGTGCCAGGACAAGGGGGAATGGCTTCACACTGCAAGAGAGTGGGTTTAAGATTAAATACTGGCAAGGAATTCTTCCCTGTGAGGGTGGTGAGACCCTGGCACAGGTTGCCCAGAGAAGCTGTGGCTGCCCCATCCCTGGAAGTGCTGGACGGGGCTTGGAGCAACCTGGTCTAGTGGAAGGTGTCCCTGCTCATGGCAGGGGGTTGGAACGAGATGATCTTTAAGGTCCCTTCCAACCCCAACCATTCTGGGATTCTACAAGTATGATACGAGTCCACATCTCAAACCTGAGCTGCGTCACACTCCCGGCTGCTGTCAGGCCTTAAGAGCAATTAAAAATCAATTCCTTATTCCTCGCTGTACTCACTAAATGAACAAGCAAAGCTGAAATGTGAAGGAGAGGGCTGAAGGTGTGAGGAGTGGGTTGTGTACCTGAGATAGTCCCTCCTGCAGAGCTTTCTACCCAGTTTGTAGTAGAGGCGTCTCCCCACCTCGCCGAGCCTGCAGCCACAGAGGTCGCAGCTCAGACAGTCCTCGTGCCAGTACTGATCGATGGCCTTCAGGAAATACCGGTCCCCAATGTTCTGCTGGCACCCTCCACATGTCAGCAGAGAAGGGGGGATCTGGAGGACTTCATCCACTGGCTCCCTGAGGGAATGAGAGAATCATTGGAGTTGGAAAATCAGCTCTGATCTGAAAGCATCTGTGTGAGGAGAAGGAAAAGCAAAATAAAACACGTTGGAATAGGGATTATATCCTTGTTTTTATTCCATCTCACCAAGGGCTAAAGGACTAAAAAAGGCACCTGAGGGATTTTGCACTTTCCATTGGGAAATGTAAATTTGAAGACTGAGTCTGAGGGTGTAATTTCCCTGAACAGCATGAAATGAATAAATGCAACAGATGAAACCAGTGCCCAACTGGTTTGAGATTCACTGCTGGTTTTAATAGAGCCAGAATTTTACCTCATGTTAGTGCAGGACTTCTTTTTTGCCTTAGCCAAGGACATGAATCCACTGGGATGGGTCTCTATACTCAAGCAATTATTTGGGATTACACATTAGACACACAAATCTTTATTGTGATATTAGCATTGACAATTCAGCACCTTATGCTGTTGCTTTTTTAAAAAGCTCTGAAATCTAAGATGGTTCTGGTAATACCTGGGGATAAAGCAAGAATTTTCTTCAAAACTATTTTCTTAAGGAATTCTCTTCTTTGTCTTTTTGGGTAATTTTACAAGTTAAGAGAAAAAAAAAAAAAAGAACAGCAAAAAAATTCAAAGGAAGGTGCCTGAGCTCAGTTCTGTAAGGTTTTGGCTTCACTCAAACCCCATGGAAGTCACTAAAAAATCTGTTGGATCCATCCTCTAAGCACTTGCTTAATTTCAAACCTGTGGGAACTAGAGTGGACCCCCAAATTTTTCCATGTTATTTGTTTCTTCTCTAACACAGAGTCCCTCAGCAATTTCTTTCTGTCACTGGTCTGTCCTCCCTTGGGCTGGTGGGGGTAGAGGAGACCTACACTGATGGAGAAAGAGCCAGCTGCTCACAGTTTCCAACAGGCAACAGGAAAAAATTATATTACTCCTGCTTATTTACTGGATCAGCAGTTTTCTGGGCAAAAATGACTTTCTTCAGCAGGGAGGAATGACCTCTGGTCAAGAACTTCTGGGCTGAGAAAGTGATCCAGCAGTTTTTATTTAGGCAAGCTGAGCCCTGAGGTATTATCTGGTTATATTCTGCTCTGGTTTTCACTCTTCTAAGTTTAAACAGCTGTGTCCTGCAAGTTGTGTGGTAACATCCTTCTCCTGCCAGCTCTCTACTCTCCATCCTGTGAGTTTTCATTAAAAATCATGGGGAACTCACGATTAGGCCCCGGTTTTTCCAAATGTATCCTTTTGGGCTCCATTACTCCCTTTCCTAATGTGTGGGCTCCATTCTGGCAACTTCTGAGAGCCTTCCAATAGGAAACACACATCATTATCCTTTATTATCCTTTATTTGAAACTTCAGATGCATCCCAAAATATTCCATCTGAGAGGTGTTTGGGAATCCCAAGCCAGGTTTCTTGGACAGCCCTAAACTCCAGAACAGCCCAACGGATGTTTATGCAGAACAGCATTCCTGGTTTACACATTAAGCTTTTTGATGTCCGTAGATTCCTAAGCCAGCACTTAAGTCACTAGAACACAAGGCAGGTAAATAAATAAAGATTTAAAAACTCTGTAGTTGAAAGCTGGACATCATTAGGAGCTTGGATTAGCATTTCTTTAAAAACAGCATAAAAGAAGAGAAAATGTAACATGTAAAACATCAGATGTGACATGGAATGAAGTGATTTAATCTCCAAAAGCAGCAGTTCCCATGTGTTCACTTCGGGCTCCAAGTAATGGCATTTTTAGTATCTCACAGGAAACAAACCACGAATGACTCAATTTACTCTGAGTGATGTTTGAAGCGTTATCTGCAAATGAAGATTTTATAATTCTTTTTTTTTCTTCCCTCTTATCATGATTCCAAACAAGCCTAAGTGCAGTTATTACCATGTGCAGGGCTGAAGTGACCCTGGGTCTGTGCTGAGCTCCCATCCCTGGGTGTGCAGGAGGGATGGGACAGCAGGAGCACAGCCCGAAAGCCTGGATCGGGGTACTGGAGCCAGTCCCTTCTCTGAGTAGAAAACCCAGTGAGGGAAATTCTCATCTCCTACATCCTGGCCATCAAGTGTTTCTCCATGCCCTTAGCAGAACACCCAGCCCCCACCAAAGCAGCTTCTATGAGCTCTTGAAAGTTGCATTACGAAAACGTGGAAGTTGGGCACCCACAGATAAAACAGCCCCGACCTTCCATTGATGGGCGGCAGCGAGCTGGGCAGACCAGGGATGGGGCACAGGGGGTCCCTAGGGATGGGGCAGGGAGGTTTCCCTCCCTGAAAAACCTTCAGGCTTGGGAAGCGGGATGCTCTCCCTCTCTCCTAGCATCCCCAGCACCCCGGGGTGGGATGAGTGGTGCCTGCCGGGGGGTGTGTGTGTGTGTGTGTGTATGTCCTGCGCCTCTCTGCTGTCGCTGCTGCTCTTTCCCACAACTCGGGGGGCTCTCCCCAACCTCCCCCACGCCGCCAAACCCGCGGGTCGGGGCAGCCTGAGCGCAGTGCCCGGTGTCCCCGGTGCGGCTCCTCCGAGCATCCCCAGCACCGCGGGGTGGGATGAGCGGGTGGGAGATTCCCTGCCCGGGGCCGGGGGGGTGCGTTTGCTTGCTCCCGGCTGCTCCGTCCCACAGCTCGGGGGGGTCTTCCCAACCCCCCCCAGATCGTGAGCCTCGCGGGTCGGGGCATCCTGGCCGCCGGTGCTCGGTGTCGCCGGCGCGGCATCTCCAGCACTCCGGGGTGGGACGAGCGGGTGGGACATTCCCTGCCCGGGGTGGGGGGTGCGTCTGTCTACTCCTGGCTGCTCCTTCCCACAACTTGGGGGGCTTTCCCCACCGCCAGCCCCGCGGGCCGGGAATCCCGGTGCGGTTCCAGTGCGGGGGCAGCGAGGAGCGAGGGCTGGTGCCGAAGCCCTGCGGGGCTGCCGGGCACACAATGCCAGTGGCGGCTCCGTCGGGGAGGACGGGGTGGCACCGGGAGCCTCTTGGGGAAGGATGGACAGCGGAGATGGAGAATGGGGAGGACCGGTCAGAAAAAGCGGCCACTTACTCGGAAGGATCGAGGCTTTTCCTCTCGATGGCCGATGACATTGGCAGGGCCGGTTCCTTTGTGGCGTGCCGGTGGTGGGCTCTGCCCCCGCCGGCTGCGCACAGGGTGTCTGCCCGCGGAGCCTTGTCTCCAGCCGCGCTCCCTCGCCGGCCCGCGATGACATTCACAGGATTTCCTCCTGCAGCACCGACACACAGACACAAACACGCGCTGGGGCTGCGCTCCAGCCCCGCACCTCCCTCCTCTCCCCCCTCCACCCCCATCCCCGCACTGCCCCCGCCCGCAGCTCTGACCTCCCATCCCCGCCGCGCTCCCCCCGCGCCCCGGCCGGCGGGGCCGCTCCCGATCCCGATCCCGCTCCCGCGGGCGGGGGGCGGCGGCCGCGGCCGCCACCGCGGCTACTCCGCGCCCGGCGCTCGCTGCGGGCGGCGGGACCCGCAGCCCCGCGGGGTTATTACTGCGCGGCTCGGCCCCCGGGGCTCTGCTTTCATTTCCTTTTTCCTGATCGCGGTTCAAATACAATGGGAGGAAATCACGCTTTAAAGAGACAGATGCCCGTTTTCTTTAACTGCACCCCTGGGGGCTCGGCGGGGCGAGCGGCAGCGTCGCGGCTCGATGGGTTGTTTAAAGGGGCAGAACGGGGCTCTCTGGAGCCGGGGCTGCGGGCTGCCAAGGCTTTCTCCTCCCTTATTATTCCTTTGCTAACGTTGGCTGGGTGGGCAACCTGAAAATCATCCCAAGGGCTGGGAAAAAATAAGCGCCTGGCTCTGTGCTCTGCCGCCTTCCCAGCCCCACACAGGACCAGAGCGACACTCACCATCCCTCTCCTTGCCCTCTGCTTCTCTTACATGTGTGTGCACATGCCTGCATGTGTTTGGACGGTGCTTTGAGATCCACAGGTAAAGATCCCCAAGCATTATTTTCTACCCAGAGTTCAAACTATTCAGCTCAGTCGTGTTTCATTTATATCCCCCGAGTGAACGTTTGCGGGTGTTTGCTCCCCGCCATCCCCCAGTTCTTGTAACGTCCCCCAGTTCATTTGTTCATTTAACAAATTTATACTCTGACACCGTTTGATGTTAATGAGCGATAAAAGCCGGCGAGTACGAGGTATCGATCTGTAATTAATCACAGAGGAGTTAAAGATGGGAAAGTCTTGCCTTGATATCTCTGTTTTCCCTCCCACCCTTCCTCCTCTCCATCAGCACAGCACATCCCGGAAAGGACTGATTTACAGCGTCGGAGTGAAAACTATTACAGCAAATCGAGCCTTTCCCAGTCTCTGTGGCAGTAGATACTGGCCCTTGCTGGAGGCAGACTTCTGCATGAGATGAACTGCTTGCCCTGTTAATTCCTTTAAAAACAGTAAGAAAATATCTATAATAAAGCACTAGAGAGCAGTAGTAGAAACACTTTACTTCTATTTTAATTCCCAGAAGAGAAATTCACTTGATGTCTATTTTTATGACTAGATTCTCGGTTTTTTTCATCTTTTTGGCAGCTGGGGGTATAATATATGCAATTTATTAATGAGCCAGATTCAAAGATTAGTAATGTCAGCAGAAGGACTGTTATTCCTTTCAAGGGTCTTTGAACCAAGCTCTTGCAATACTTTAGAGCCATCACTGGTCATTAGAACACATCTTTCTAATTCTTTAAACACATTATCTCCAATGTATTTTAAGCTATTACAGCATGACAGTCACTCTTATTTCTGTTAAAGGAAAAGGCTCTTTTGTTAGGTTTTCACAGACGGGATTGAATTATATGATGACTATTTAATTTCTGGTGTATTTACCCTGTGATCAGAAAAGTAAAATATAAATCTTTCCAGAAGATTGAATATTTAAACTGCCAAAAAAAATCTGCCAGGAACTTTACTTGGTTTAAAAAAATCAGAAATTAAATTTAAAGGTGGCTCAAAAACATCCATAAGGACATCAAATGTTAAAAAAAAATGAAGACACTTCTATGAGCTTGGTTTCTCACTTTGTGTCTCAAGGTTTAATACAGTATAAACTCTGAAGCAAAATTTTCCTGATGATTGGGGTATTCACATTCTGAATAACTCCTGATGGAATAATGTGAACAATTCCATGATGCTAGTAAATGTTCTGCTTTCATAAGTTGTGCACAGACTACAGACATACTGGCCTGCTGCCTCCCTTCTATTTATTTTTCCAAAATTCACAGGAAATTGTTATATTTAAGAACTCTGTCCCTTAATGTATCTGAAAGAGATCAGCTGCTTCAAAAGTTTTGATGAGGGATGAAAACACCTAAGGAATTACTTAATTCCTCAGAAAAAATAACATAAAAACAAATACTTATAATACACAGTGGCCAGCGATTATTGGAAAAAACCCAATTTTTAAGGATTTACAATTCCTTTCTTTGGTCAGACCACCTCCGATCTAACGAGATATTTCTCATATTCCTAGTCGAGCACATGCATTGCTGGACAGACCAGGAACATTCTCTGCTTTGCCAGATTAATCCCTTGACTTGCAGAAAGTTTTTCTGTATAAAAAACAGTGGAGCAGCTCGAAATACAGAAGCTGAAGAGGACAATTTGTATGTGTTTTATTTTTTTCAGTCAGATCCAGAACAAACTTGGCTAGAATAAGTCAGATCTTGAAGCACTGAACTTGTGATAGTGCTGGGATCATTCCATGGGCCTGAAAGCTCTGCCTGTTTGCTCATCTAAAATAATTGTAATTAAACTGTGAGATTATTTCTTATTTTCTATCAGTCCTATGAAGGGGAGATACCAGGCAAAGTCATGAGCAAAGAAAAGTGAAAAAAAATCTGGATTTGCAGCAAAAAGCCCAGCAAGCGGGTCCTCAGAATGCTGACCAAGACCTGCATCTTCTAATAGTTCTGAGGAACAAAGACATATACCTTTTTGGGACAATTCCATTTTCATTTATTGGGTTTACATATACTAAACTCTTGCTCTGGACAGTGAAATTTGGCATTTCCAGATAAGGACTTTCTGTCCCATCAGAACAGATGACCAATAATCATGAGCAACTTCTTTTCTTCACCTTGAGCAAGTCCCCTAATACCTCTTTGCCTCGATTTTCCCATCTGCAAATGTTTACTTTCCTCAGCAGAATTGGCTGTTGATTTACTTTTGCATCCCGCTGAATAACAGTTCACAAAGACAAAGCCTTATTCAGCCCTGGAATTGGTGGTGCCGACATTTCCTGCCCAGGGACAAAAAGACTTGCACTATTTTTAGTCAGGGCTTTTCTTTCCATTGTCCCTTTCTCTGTGAAGCTGGATTTTCCAGTGTTTTTTAGTGTGGCTTTGTGTGTGTGTGTGTGTTTTCATTGATTGAAAATCCTAAGGGATGAGTTTTGGTTTCAATTAACTTTTATTAACAAAGATCATGCTATAGGCTAATTATTGGAGCATGGCTGAGGTCAAATCTGCTGTTAGAAACTACATTTAGCATTCAGTGGAATAATGTGCCTCAAAGAAGTCATCTGGACTTTTCTAGATGTTTCTCACTGAAGATGTTTCTCACAGTTTAATGTAAATGTAAATGTTTAATGTAAAACTGCATTATTTCTATGAGTGGTGTAATTTAAAGAAAGAGCCCAGTGTGCCTGTTTCACGACCCTCTTGGACTGAGTATTTTCAGCTTGGTTTTGGAAGGCCATAGTATCATCATCATCATCACACAGTCTCAGGTTGTTCCTACCTTTTTTCTTTAGCATATCCCAGCTTTATTCCCCCTATGGCTTATGGATATTACTGAGATATTTCAGGTCAGCCTCATTTAGAGAAGTCTGTGTTCAGTAAGATTAACTTTGCTGCCCTCAATAGCCAGTAATGCTGGTTGCCTAAAAATGCAGTTTATGAAGATTGAAGTCTCTGCATAGACAGAAGAATTAAATCTCAGTGATGGTGGCCTAGATTTTCTGGTAATGCTTTCTAGGGGAGAGAAAACTCAGGACCATGACTAAAGGGTGAACAATTAACATGAAAGGTGGCAGAAAGGAATAAGGATTTCTGTAATTTGGGCTGTGTTCTGCTGCTGACCCACCATGTGGTGTTTGAATAATCACTGCTCCACTCCAATCCTCAATTTACCTATTTGCAAAATCCTCCTCTTTCCCACTACACACTGGACTGAAGCCTTGACATGCCTGCCCTTCAGATAAGACTCTGGAGAAATGGAAATTTTGGGTTGGTTTGGGTGTTTTGAGCACAACTTTGACCTTGCAGAACAAGTTGGGACCTTGGTCTCTGCTAAAGAATACAGAATATTTGAGGAGAAATTTGGGGGTTGGGTCTAGATGTTCTTCAAATTCCCTTCCAACCCAAACCACTCTGCAATTCCATGATTCCATGAATATAAACCAGGACATTTGAATGTGCCACTGGAGAACCAAACCTGTATCAATAGTTACTCATATCACCACCGTGGCATATTAATGGCATGAAAAGCACTACATAATTCAAAGGCAAAAAAATATGTATTTATTCCCTTTTCATGTATCTTTTTCTTTCTCAATTTCTTTTTCAGCCAGTGAGTTCTGGTCTGGTCTGTGTGCTCTCCACAAGTGCTGTTTCGATGTTGTTGGTTTTTTCATATCAAGAACTCCTCATCATTATCCTAATAATTAGTACATTTTCTAACCTCCCTAGGGACAGAATAGCAAGGATAAGGAGCTGTCCTTGAGCAATGACCACATACACTGACTTGAATGCACTTGGGAGGCTTTCGGTAAAGTGTGACTCAGAGAGCTTACAGACTCCTGACCAAGGACACACTTCTCTTTTTGGGGCTTAACCTTTTCTTTGAACTGGAAGAAAACAAACCAGAACAATAAAAACCACACTCAGGGTGAGGTTTGCCCTGGGACTCTGAGGTCCAGACGTTAGATAAGGATCCTGCTGCATAAAGAGGTTTGAGCAGTTACAAAGTTCTGTTTTGTTTTGCCTTATTTTCTTCCATGGGCAACAAAGATGAGAAAAAAACACCCAGCCCCTCACTGTGTTTATAGCTGAGAGAAATCTCCAACTGCAGATCACATCAGGGATGATGAAAAGTAAGTTACAGGCAGTCAGATGAAGGGATATTTCACTGTAAAAATGTGAAAGGTTCCCCCTCCCCATTTCCTCTCTCTTCTTTTATTGATTTCTCTTGCTGCCATCGAGCCCTTGCTACCTTGCACACAAGCCATATCCAATTAGCCT